GAGGCGGCTGACGGCCCGCGGCGCGCCAACAGGCCCAGGGGCGCAGGCCGCGCACCGCGGGCGGATTCCTGCACCCCCACCTGCGCCCACACCCTTGACAGAGTCTCCACTCCCGGTGTTCCAGGAAGCCCACCTTCCCCCCAAGGCCCCCACCCTTCCCTCTCTGCACACTCTCACCCCCACCCTCCCACATCTCCTCTCTGTCTCCCTGGAACACACGCACCCGCACGCTTTTTCTTCTCCTCACATAGATAACCCCTATGGCGCGTCCCTGGTACCTTTTGAATAGCTCTGGAGTCTAGAGAATAAAAATCTTTACAATGCGTTGCTTGTCTTTAGCCAAACACTTTTAACAACCACAACAAAAAGGGGGAGGAATGAGGAAGGGAGCTTGAACCAAAAGACCTTTCTTTAAAAAAAAAAAAAAAAAAAAAGTCTGCTGTCAAAAGGTCATCCTCCAAGTTTGTAAATAAAATTGCAAAGGGAGTCCTTAAGAAAGAAGGAAGGCAGGTAGAAAAGACCCACAAGTTACATAAAATGGTGCATTGGAAAAACAAGACAGAGCTATTCTTAAAAAAAAGGGGGGGGGGAGGCTAAAGAAATCAAGAGAAAAAACTGGATGAAAAAAGAAAAAGAGGGAAAAGAAAATAAAAGGCAAAAGTTTCTAAAGAAATGTGTGCTTTGCATTCTACAATAGGAAAATGTAGCCATTGCCCTTCTTCAGACGAGACATTTCTAATTTGTTCCGTCTGTCAGGAGGGGACCGCGAGAGGTTTGGGTGCAAATTCATTATCTCTGGCAACGCAGAACGTAGTGTGGGGGCTGAAAAAGACCGTGGCAATGGATGAACAATAGGGCTTCAGTTCATCAGTAACAAAAGCAGTGGGGAAATTGGTTGAGTTTCAGAGCACGTCCTCCTCGGCAGAGGGGGCTGGACTAGACCTTGGACAGCCCCCCCAAAAACTTGCCGAGCCTCGCACACACCACTTCACTCTCCACTCCGAGGCTCAGGGAGCAAGTGTCTGGCATGGGGGGGAAAAGTTGGCTTTTTTTCCTCTTTCGTCTTTTGCGCTCTTCTTCCTCTCCCCGGAAGGGAAGGCCCGTTTAAACTATTTTAGACGCAATCAAGCAAGAATCACCGTGTTGAATTGAGCGGCAGTTTTAAATGTGCCAAAGAGAGGGACGATCTGGGAAAAAAAAAAAGAAATTTTTTTTTTTTTTTTTTTTTTTTTGAGACGCCGAAAAGAGCCTGTTTGTGTGCTGCAGCCGCGCTGTGACTCTGGATCTTGTCTCCTGGCCGGTGCCTCTATTCCTGCTCAGCTGGATTTGGGGGACAACACTGCTTGGCGCAGGGAGGACAGCAAGTGAGTATCGTGGTGGCCCGCAGGCGGCAGCTCGACCCACGGCGCGGGGCCAACAGTGCCCGCTGCGGCCCCACGCCCGCGCCCCCCACCTCGCCCGCGAGCCAGTGCCGGCTGAACCCCGCCGCGGGCCGCTCCGAGGGCCAGTCCGGGGCTTTGCTGCAGCTAATTGATTGTGTGTGTGCCTCGGATGCTAAACCTGTTGATCTCGTGAGTTGTCTGGGCCGGGACTGTTAATTATCCAGCGACCTGACTCCCAATCGCAGAGAGATGCCAGGAAAATTTCGCACTGGAAAGGGGGAATTTTGTATGTAATTTTTTGTTGTTTGTGGTGGGGCTTTCTCCTTTTAAACCTAGAGCCAAATACAGTTGTATTTTGCGTTCCTGGATTTAGGATTCGCATTTTGACGAACTCGTCTCCTTTTAACCGCCCCAAAGTTGCAATTACCTGGCAATGAAGCGAGGGTCTGATTGGATCCTGGTGGAAAACTTATGTATAGTAGTTCACTAGATCTGGTGGACTTCCACTTCCTTTTTCTCTGTAAATTTTGGATTCTGGGAGACTAGAGGCCAGTGTATGGGGTTATCCGAAGTTCAGATTCATCAAGATGCAACCGTTGAGGTTAGTTATTGCTACTTGGAGCGTTTCAGCCTCAGACGCTTCTGGTACCTGAATGGAGCCGGGTTCTACGGTTTGCTTGGAGCTCAGACACACCGGAGGGAGGCCAGACCTCCCCTCGGTGGCCCGGAATTGTCTGCGGTAACTCGGGGCGGTGTGAGCTGGGGCAACGTATTTGCATTCGTGTCTGCGGCGTTTTCTCTTGCAAATGTACCCAAGGTGCTTGAGTAGGTGAGTGTTCTGAGGGGTCAGCTCAGCGCAGGAATTGATCAGAAGTTAGACCCGAGGCCTTGTCAAGTCATGGCCACGGCCGGGGCCCCTTTAGCTGCCTTGGGCCCAGAACGGCAGGGCCGGATCGAGTTTCCTTCCTCTTCTAGTGCCCACCTCTGCTCGACACCTCCCCTTCCCCACCTTCGCACCAGTAATTAGGGCGGTGTCTCAGGAAGCTAGCTCCCATAGTCCGCATAATAGAGCCAGTACAGTACTTTCATTTTGCAAAACCAATAGCCCCACCCGCCACTCCAAAATAACAATAAACATTAAAAAAATCATAAAATAAAAGCAACCTATTTTAGGGAGTGTAAGACTTCTTGAATATTGGGTTGTGAGAGGATGGGGGAAGGGAAGAAAAAAATTCGCCACTTTACAGCAATCAGGTTTTACATTATTCATTGATTTACTAGAGGAAAGAACCAATCAGGAGCCATAGATATGAATGCACATCTCACCGTGCTGTGGCCTTACAGTAAACTATTTGCATCTTTCTAATGGATTAGATATTTATCTAGGGATTCCCATTGTTTGAAAGGCCTGGAAATTCAGTCTCTCAAACATTTAGGAAATAAGACTTTGTTCTAGTCTTAAAATCTTTACATGGAAAGATTCTCCCTGTTCTTTTGTATGGCAGGTTACAATGTTCAAATCTCTAATGTTTCTTAAGAGTCCCTCTTCCTTCCAAGCTAAAAAGAAAAGAAGAGAAGAAAGAAAATACTAATTTCCCAAACCCCTCCAGATTCTGCATATTTTGCATTCCCATTATCAGGCATGTCTCCATTTAAATGCAAATTAGCATATTTAACCCTGTGGGTACTGAAGCCCAGGATACATTGTGCTGGGGTTTTATGGAATCTCTTGGCATTTTAAGGAATCATGGAAATCGCAATACTTTAAATGAAACCATATCTAGACGTGATTATATATATTAAAACTGTGATCATTTGTTTTCTTGACTGTTTTTCAGATGAGACTACAAAGAATCGTGAAATGAATAGACAGTCCAACCAACCAAAGGTAATTTTAAAATTTACGTTTGATAAAATCAAAGTCATGTACAAAATCGAAATAGAATATTATTTGCTTGGTGGTAGGCCTGCAGTGTATTGCAGACCTCCCAGTTCATGCAAGAAATGGAATTCCAGAAAAATCTAAGTTTTCATATGTGCAGGTTTTTTCTCTGTAGGTAGTCTTTGCATGTTATATATCAAGCATAACACAAACATAACATGTAACTGCCTATAAAAAAGAAATTTGGAATATAGAAAGAATAACAAGACACTTTTATTAGAAAGTAAGCCAGTCAAGTACCTTGCCTGAACTAGACAAATCGCTGTAATTAAATGGCTTTTATGTTAGAAATGGTAGTCTTGACTGTATTAGTGAACTGTGGTTTACATGCACGAGAATCGTACAAACCAAATATTAAAAGCAGATTTGTATGATGTGCCAATTCTGTATGTAGTCTGAGTAGGATTCAGAGAGGTGTTCTGAATATTAGTGACAAACTAATGTATTTGCATGTATGGAATAGCATATTTCTGATCCAAATATGTGGGAAATCATAACTTTTTGCTTTTAACTTAAGTAGAGATTGTTTATTCCCAAGAAACCAGGATGTTTCAATTCATGTTTCAGCCATCTGGAGACCTATAAAAAGATTAGAAAACAAGCATGACAATCACGTCCTAATCTACTGGTCATTAATGGGAATTTATTAGAGAATGAGCAGGCAAGCCATTTGAGTTCAGTATATCCTCAACATGCAGATTTCAAAAGGAGTATTTTGTAGCTCAGCTAAATAGCTTTTGAAAAGCAAAAATTTCTGAAATAAAAACATGTAGGTATTAATAGTTGCTCTTAACAATGTGTGACAGACATTACTAGGAATCTTTAGAGCATCATAATTGCTTCAACTTGTCTCACACCCTAGATAATACAGTCCTTGAAATTGTATATGATCAACCATGATATAAACCTTGGGAATATTAGAAATATTCAAGTACGCAGTGTTAAGCCTTAGTGTGCATCTTTTATTTCTCCATTCCCCGAGAGATGATGGAAATGTATAACATTTAATTAGCTATATGGTTGATGAACAGTCTGCCCATAATCATCCTGTTGGCTGTTTTCACTTACTTGGGCTCCCAGAATGAATCTATAGTATATGTGACATATGTGGGGACCATTGCCCTAGAAAATGCTATTTTGAGACAATATCATCTTCTAATTGTAGAAGCATCTCACATGTTCAGTGTCTTGTCTATCATTATAGGCACTTTGGTTCTGAAAGTGCATTTTATTGTTAAATGTGTGGAAATATAGCCATATTAATTTGTAAACCACACAAATATGGGGCTGCTAAACACAAACATACATGTATCACACCTCTCTAGTTTCACCAACTCCCACTCAAACATATATAAAGCAAAAAGATATTCTAAAAATATCTGGAATTTCTTAGGGCTTTGACTTAAGGAATTGAATTCATCTGATCACATGCTTGCTTTATGTAATACATGCCAAATCGCTAATGATTCTGCTTCTAGGTCTTGGAAAGCAAGGCCACAATACCCTCAATCTTCCAAGGCAGCAGAGCTCATTAGGGTTTTACATAATGTAAAAAGTGGCATGTGCTTCAGTAAGGTGTTAAATGTTTATCCAGTATTTTATGTGGTGACCATATAGTTCATGAATAAGCAGTAACCCCATGAAATGTGTTCCTCTGAATCACTTTGTAGTTTGCATGTACTTTTATATATAACCCAATGCAGTCATTTTTGATCATACCTCTATACCATAATTTGATACGAAAAATAGATGAGTAATATCCACAGCTTAGTCTTTTCTAAATAGTCAGTACTAGAGTGTTCACACTCATACAAATAGCATACATTAAAAATCTAGGGAAAAAAATTGACATTTGTCTTAGTAAATCATATCTTTAATTGGTGTGATAGTGTTTTCAGTTCTGGATTGGGGCCTTTTCTTAGCAATTCTTGTTTTCTTTGTCAGTCATTTCTATAGGATTTACATGTGTGTGTGTTCTATATGTAATTTGGTAAGCATGTTCTCACTCATGTCTTAAATAAATCACTGAATTGGTGAAAGAGTATATGTTAACTCTGAAAAGCGTTCTAGTCATTGGGAGAAATAGTCAACCTATAGAAATGAGAATGTTGTGATAAACTAGTGATGTGTGAAATGAATATGAAGATTTATGACATTTTCTTTCTGCATATATTTTAAAGAATAGTAACACCACCCAACATAACTCATCATTTTGGAAAAAAAAAACAACAGTCCATAAGGTTTACCCATGGTGAATATGCATCTTAATGAAAACTGTACCTTAGATGTTCTATTAAGGGGAACCTGAATATTAGAACTATACATGTTATAGATGCATTAGACATAGCTTACAAATTACAAAGGAGAGAAGGAAAGGACTCTTAAGTAATCATTTTTACTTTGATAAGTTCTAAGAAAAGGATTAAGGCAAATTAATAACACAACAACCCCTCCTGATAGGAGGAAGGAATGGGTGGGAAGGGGGAGGTAGGAGTAGAGTTATGCTCTTAACATCCAGGTGTTTTATCTTTATTTTTCACGAGGTAAAAAGACTTTTTTTTTGTAGTTTCATAATCAACACTAGTACATTTTGTCCTTCTGTATTAATCTTAATGTTTGAAACAATACACAAAGGCTCAGCATCTGTATTACAGCAGAATTATGTACACTAGAAAATATTGCTGCTGTGTTTACCTGTGCTGCATTCTAACACACCCCTTATACACAGTCATTTAAAAAAAATTCAGGATGGTGTCCGCTTGCTTAGAGCATTCAGTTTGAACTTAAAGAACAAAATACTCTGCCCTATCGCCATGGTACATAGATACAAAACATGAGTGAGCTGTGAAGCCATTAAAAACACACCACCAGAGCAAATTGTCAATGTAATCATACATTGACTCACTGCGTAATACAGATCTGATTCCCAGCCCTAGAAAGCAAGGGCCTGCTTTAAGCAACAGCAAAGTGCCTTCCATCTGTCTGCCTATGCAATCTGCCAGAAGAGAAATGCAGGCAAAGACGTTCCCCCGATCTGAAATGCTTTTATCTGTCCTTAGAGAGAGATTTCGTCCAGTCTTTGGATATTAGAGCGATCTACACTAGCACCGAGGAGGTAAAAGCCCGCGGGTTGCTTTTCCAGGAGCAGTCGGTAGTGCTAGCGGAAGAGAGGTTGATTGAGAAAATAGGGCTGGTTGCAACGCTGCCGCTGCTGCCGCCGCTGCCGCTGCTCAGCAGGCAGCAGGCGTGGGACAGTTTGCTGATCACTGATGCATATCAGTAACCATGTACTTGAGATTTCTTATGACATCATCATTACCTTGGTCTCCCGTGGTCTCGAACCTTTGACCTTGAAGGCTGGTCCACATTTTGGCAGTGAAAGCCCTTCCAATGATGGCCCTTTTCTCCTTCTTTCAGACCGGGGGCAGCAGCACGCCAGCAAGACGGCATCTTCTCGTCCCCAGCCTACAAGCCTTGTGAAATCGAGGATCTTCCCCCTAAAACACACACACACAAGATATATGCAATCAAGCTGCCACCGCTTGGTAAAAAGCTCATGGTGCCTAACCCAAAAGGATCAGGAGCAGATCCTTGAATCAGCTGTCACTTCTATAGAATGGAATGTTTTGTTGTTGTTTTTTTTTTTCCTTCCTCCTTAACCTGCGCTGGAAACTGCCGTTGGCTTTATACATCTCTATAGAGGGAGGCTAAAGAGTCTTGCGTGAGAATGAAGCAATTTACAATGCAAATAGAGGCCTGTGAAGGGACGGATGCTGCTGCTCGCTCTTAACTGCTTGCTGCACCTTAATAGCTGGTTTTATTTTCTGATATTAATAGATGAATTGTTGGCTAACGCTGCCGGAGATTACTTGCTGAAAGGAGGAAAAAAAGTTCGGAATAAACTTTGAAGGCAACAGATCTCGTTTGGATGTTTTAACCGCACACACAGAAACAGAAACCAGGTCCTATTTACACAAAAAGAGGAGTCTTAAGCGCCCCATCTCCTGGAGGACTACTCTTCGGTACTGCGGGAAAGGATCGGGATCTGGAGTCTGGCAAGAGGAAGACCAAGCGTGTGAGGGAAGCGAGTTGTTATCTTTGGTTATCTAGCTGTATGAGTGTATTGGTCTTCATAAAGCTAGATAACCGAAAGTAAAAACTCCTTCAAGATCGCCGGGGAGCGTGTGAGAATGAAAGACTACAACCAAGAGACAGTAAATACCAGAAAGGTCAGGACTACTTATTGAATCTAACTTTGTTTTTGTTTGCTTGTTTTTTCCTTATGATTAAAGGTGGGATTAGAAGAAATTAAGTGACCCCAAGATGCTAATATCTAAAGATGCTAGATGCTTTGAGAGGGGTTGTTAAGGTACAGCCCTACCCTAATGAGTAAAGATGCATGTGCAACTTATTCTATTTTAAGGCAAAAGTTTATATATGAGGGTTGGTTTGTTTTAAGAAAGCTGTTGTAGAGATGCCTGGCATTTAGTTTTAAAATGATTCCGTAATACGTACATTTAGGAAGTCCCCTTCGGAGGTCTCCCCTCCCTCACAAAATCGGAAGATTTGTGTTTGGAATCTACATGTATGTGGGCTGTATTTCAAATTATATGAAATCAGACTTTCAAAAAAGTTTATACTGGAAGGTTAATAATTTATATCAACTAAGGACTTAGAGCTAGCAGGGGAAATGCAAAAAAAGGAAAAAGCGAAGGCTGATTTTTATTCTTCTATTCAAAATACAAGGACAGATGCTTCTCTGTTGCAAGAGGGTTTCCTTGAGGAAGCTACTGAAGCAGAAAGACATGATGGAGACGAGATCGCCTCCCCTCTTGTCAAAGTGTTAAAAAAATGTTCTGTCTTACTCTGCGCCTAGCGTTGGAAATGAAAGTGACATTTACGCCACAACCCACGTGTGCGCCTCCTCTCTTTTTGTTTAAGGATGATCAGGTCTATCCAGGAAACAGCTCTGGCATCCCAAACTGAAATAATTAGGACGTATATAGACCTGACAAAAATGGAAAGGGGGTGGGGAATCTGAGGGTCTGTCTTGCCTAATTGATTCCGCTAAACGGAATGCAGGAGATGTGAACGGCAGGACGCTCCGATTCCCACGCTCGGGGGCAAGTGGTAAAGCGGGGCCCGGCAGCCTATGACAGACAGCCCTGTTGGGGGGTGGGGGTATGAAAAAAACATCAAGTGCACACACCATACTCATCTCCATCACTTAAGAAAGTAGAGGCATTTCCCACCCACAGCCATCTGCAGCCTCCCAAATGGCAACACCAACTGGTCTGTAGCTGCTGCATACTGCCTGTTTCTGTTAATGTTATAACCGCTGTTTAATCTGACCACAATTAAGTTTGGCTTTCTTATTCGGTTGAGATTTCCAAAATTCAAGGAAAGCTGGTAGAAAGTGATTGCAAGCTGGTAGAAAGTGATTACTGTCTGCCCCTCATGTCAAATTCTCAGTTCTTATTTTGGCCTTGTGACCACCTCTTGGCTTTTGTTTTGGGTGGGTTATATTTTAAGATAAATATCTGTATATATGTATCTATGACCTCCTCAGGCTGTTTACTTCTTAGCATGATACATCTAGGAACTTGGCCTAATGATGCTAGTAAACACACTGGGAGTAAATTATAAAATCATCAACCTGTAGAACAATAACAATGTGATAAAAGGTTATTTTGGACTAGTTCCAGGTAGATGCATTCTAAACAGTCATATCTATTTAATCTAAAAATAACTGTGCTTAGCAGAAAACTTTGGTGTTTTGGAGGTCCCCATTGTAATCTTTTCCACATGTCACCAAGCAAACATATAAATACAAACATTGCAATTAGAAAATACCCAAAATGGCCTGTTATTTTCCACATGGCCTAGATTATTTGCAATCCCAAATATACCATTTTTCTTCAAAAGCACTATATTTTCCTTTATAGCTTCAATTCCTTATAAGACTTCAGATTGGAGAAGCCTGTAAAATCACTATTGGTTTGTTAGAAATTCTGAGAGACTTTATTAATGTAAATAAATTCCCAGTTTGGCTGCTGAACACGTGCCAAAGTTTTACTACTGTAGTGACCTTGGAGACGACCCTTGTTTATTTACATTTGAAGCACTGTTTGTGCAAACAACCTTTCATTGTTAAGTGCCTGTATTCCTTTCATTTACTTCACGTCCAGGGGTGCTATTTACCTAGAACCATTGTCTACTACAATTAACATTTACATTACAAAGTGTGTGGTTTTCTTTCTCAAGAAGGTTCAATTAAGGCAATAAGATGTTTGCTGGGGAAACCTATTGTTTACTGAAAGCACTCAATGGAGTCAAATTACTGAAGCTTTTGCCTACATCTTGGTCTTTTATGTAAATGTGTTAAATATAACATCTAAGGAAAATAAACAATATTATAATTATGTGTTTGCCATTGTCACATCAAAGTTGCTTTGTATCATACTAATGTTACATGACTTATCGATCAATAAAAATACATTTCAATGTTATTATTTTCATTTTATTTTTTGCTGTTCCACTGCTCTTGCTGCAACATATCCCAGTTTTTCTTTTTTCTATTACACATCAAACTTCTGACATTTTGTTTTATTTGTGTATGTTGAAGAGAGGTACTGTATCTGAGCTTGGGCTTGAAGGGTGTTCACGATAAACTCTACAATGACCTTATAATGTGATATTTCTTTGAAATCTGAAATATTCCTAAGGCATGTACATTTAAGTCAAAAGAAGTGTAAATATCAGTTAAGTAGTTCTTTGAAAGCTAGTTTTAACATTGGCAGAAACCAGATCAAGTTTATTTAGCATACCACTGCATTGTAAAACAGTTGGAGTGAAGTTGCAGGTTGCGTGAGTATGCATGTTAACTAGTGGGAACCAAGCGCAGTCTTTGTGAAAGGGGAGCAGCAGATTGCTGTGCAAGGCCAATGTTAAAAAGGCAGCTGAATTTAACACCATCTGGAAGAAAAGATCCCTTCACGACTTTCTCACACCGTCAGACAAAACTAGTGTCTCTTGTTCCGAGCCCTTGTCTATGCAACCATACAATACTGAGTCATTATACTTTTGCTGAGAGAAAATTTGAGAACACAATATGGGTAACCAGTGAATGACCAAGTTTCATTGTGCCCGCTTAAGTCGATTGAAATCTACGTCTAGAGCTATGAATGGTGGCATTGTTTTCCTCACCAGGGCTGTACTAAATGTCAGCACAGTGTAAAGAAAAACTTGAAGTCTGCAAATAACTTACCAGATCTCAATTATAATATTTTCCCACACTAGAACTAATATCATTGCGTGGGGCTACATTGCAGAAAATACAAAAAGAAACAAACAAAAAGTTCATTTGGAAGTTATTTTATCCAGACAAACATTTTAATTTTCTGATGGGGAACTTCAGTTCAGGCTGTAGACTGGGTTGAGAAGTGGAATCCATTACTGGGAAGTTCAAGTTACAAAAATGCTTCTTGTGCATTAAAAATAGAATAAAACAAACACCTAGCCCCACCTAACACCCTCTCTTCTTACATATAAACAGATTCTAGTTGGGATTTATTGCTAGAGTTTTGCTTAGAATTACTAGGGTGAATCTAGCTTAAATACTGCTTTAAATTTTGACAAACACTGCTCTTTCAAAGTTTGCCATTATGATTGACATTGCAAAAGAACATTGTAGACATACATTTCCAGCGTTATACGAGAACATTCTGGCACCTCCTTGGGTGGATTTTGGTGCCCTCAGAGATACACCTCCCCTTTATACTTCACCCTCCCTCCATTTCCTAGCCTTTTTTTTTTTTTTTTCCTCCTCATGATGTGTGCAAATCAGTTATTATCTTTAGGCTTCACTTTCACGTAATCTATTTGACCGCAAACAGTCAGAAAAAGGAAACAAAACAGTTCAGCAAGAGTAAAAGGAGTTGGTTGTGTATGTTCTATTAGGATGTCTATTTTAAACATAATTGACTTTGCAATTTTGTTACTGTGTCACCAAGTGTCGCATAGTTCTTGACATGGAAGTGCAAAACAATGAGTAATTGCTGTTTTGCTGAATGATACATCTGGGTTGCCAACGTCGAAGGTATTATTTTGTGTATTTCTAAACAAGAACGCTAACTGCAGGTTTTGACATCTAGAATCTTTTCATGAAATACTTAGAAATAAGCCGTTTAAATGATACCTGTAAAAGTAAATATAAAGATATAGCCAACTGATTTTCCTTGTCCTACTTTATGGAACCAGAAAATTAACAATGAAAAGTCACTCAATAATAGAATTATAATGGATATAACATAAAAGGACAATCATACAGAAAACCCAAAGTAACAACAGAAGTGGAAATTGGATAGAGGTCAGAAAGATATATAGGAAGTCTTTCTGCAGTATCTTTGTAGGACTTGAATGGGTATATTCCCCAATATCAGCTCCTACTGAAGTTACCATTAACATGCATAGTAATGAGATAAATGCATTATTTATATTCAACATGGATTATTTTTCCAAAGTGACTTTTCTTTAACTCTTCTTAAACATCAACATGTCTACTATTAGTGCTATTTGTGTTTATTTTTAAAAAATTAAAATGATTTTCTCATTTGGAAAAATATGAAATTCTTATTTTTGTGTAGTCTTTGATGAAACGTAAGAAACCATTTAAAGGGCAAGAGATAAGGATGAGTACTATTCCAAGTTCATAACGTTCTTCCTATTCATAGAACATTTTAAGTTTATAGTTCTTCCTATTTATATTAACACTTAAGGAAACTTTAACATTTAAAGAATGTTGACTTTTAAAAAACGGATAGACGAAACCAAATGGTTTTATTTTCTATGTGGCTAGAAAATGAATGAAAAAAAGTGTAACTATCTAGTTTTTTCCTATGGACCTGTACCTCTGGAACTGACATTGTGGCTTAGGAATATTGACGCGGTTCTTCCACTCTGTATTGCTATGACTTATCTTTCCCCTAATTAGCCAGAGTTAAGTAAAACACACCATACATATGATGTTGCACTTGAATGGCTGCTGGGTGTGGTATTGGTAGATAGGCAACATGCGACAAGGGGTCCCTTGATTCTAAGGACCAACTAATCAGCATCAAAGTTACTGAGTAAAAACGTATCTATAAAATACTTTTTTTTTTTTTTTTAATGCTGGTCCATTGTTTTAACACTAGTACTTCGAGATAGTTAAATTGCAATGTGGCATGCAAGGCAGTTCTTCAGTGTCTCCGGATTTTAATGGATGGCTTTGTTATCCTGTTTTTCTGTTCATCGGTTACTTAGCACAAGTTAAACAACCTAACGCTGAGCAGAAAGCTTCATTCCCATTTGCTTGCAGAACCCATTCCCTCCTCTTCCGGGAATTGTTTGACTTCATTGTGGAATTAACAAAGATGATGAACGTAAATGAAAAATGTATCGTTGCGATTTCAGCTATGGAGTATCTAGTTGCCAGCCGTCAATCAGCGCCGCGAGTTTAGTGCACTTCCTCAGAAAGGTGATGACCATTTTTTGAGGTGGGAGCATGTGGCTTTCCGCTTTGCAGCCAACTACCAGACCACAGGGGGTAGGGCTTTCAAAAGTGCAGATAATCGACTTTATTCAGGGAAATATGGAGTTCTGAGCCATATTTGTTCAAAGGGAAGCACATCACTGGGCTTGGTTTGACTCGGTTTTGGCTGAGCGCCGGCGCAACCTAGTCTTTAAAAAAAAAAAAAAAAAAATCAAACCAACTGCCGGGGAGTCGGTTTCAACTCACAGCGACCTTACAGGAGGACAGAGTAGAACTGCCCTGTAGGGTTTCCAAGGCTGTAAATCTTTACGGAAGCCGGCTGCCAAGCAGATTGCCACATCTTTCTCTCGCAGAGCGGCTGGCTGGTTCGAACCGCCGATTTTTCGGTTAGCAGCCGAACGCTTTAACTACTGCGCCACCAGGGAATCCTCCGACCTAGTCTAGCGATCTAAAAATAGCCAGGCTTAGCAGCCACAATGCAACCTGCTTGGCGTGGGCGGCGCGCCGAGGAGACAGCGGACTCTGCGACTGGCCGCGGACGTAGCTGGGCTAAGCAGTGGCAGCGGCGAAGGCGGCCCGCCGCTGGGCACAACGCCTCCGGGTGACCCCTAACAGCCCAAGTCCTCTTGCGGCTGCGGCGGCTTGCGGCTCTTGCTTGAAAGCCGGCGTCTGATTGGTGTTTCCCGGGAGACGGGCTGCCGAGCTGGTGCGCCGGCGCGCGCGCTCTCGGGGTTGGCGCGCGCTCCCCGGCCGGCGCGCGATCGGGCGGCCGTGGGCGCGCTGCGGCCGGGGAAGCGGGCTGGGCAGCCTCCCAAGTTCGCGCGAGCCCGAGTTCCCCACTCCTGCCCCCTTTCCCCGAGCCGCGCAGCTGGACGCGGCGGAACCAGGAGTTGCCCTTCTCCTTTGGTTGGCACGCTAGGTTGCGTCCGCGAGCGCTATTCTGTGTGTGGTTACTTTTTTGCCTGCCCTTCGTCCCCTCATCAGCGACCCGGCCCTGCCTCTGTGCCAGCTGGGGTCTGCGGTTGCTTAGGAATCTCTGAGTTGGGTTTGTGAATGGGGGATGGTGTAGGGGTTTAGTCACGCGAGGACGTCCGATAGAGGCACCAGAAAGCCGACTTCTCCCTGCGGCCCCCTGCCGCACAGACCCCTCCTCAGGCTAGCGGGCAATTTGTGATTAAAGAGCTTTCTTTTGCTGACAGTTTCTCTAGCTCTGCTCAAACTTCTTCCCTGGATAAGATCAATATCATCGATAAACATATTGCCTCCGCCCCGCGTATTTTAAACCTAGTGAAAAGTTGCTAACGGAGAGTCTGGCGGGGAATCCCTCAGGGGAAGAAGTTTTGTGAAATCCGAGCCGGTGCTGGAGAGCGCAAGCCGCTCTGGGCCCTTCCCTGGAGCAACTTCCACCACACTTCTGACCTCATTGCCCATTAAGGGCTCCTGGCGCATCTCCCCTTCTCCCTCCCCCCTTCAGATTTGCTGGCAATATTAATCTCCTTGTTGGGTGGATACAGTAGAACTTGTTCAGAGATTACTTTAAAAAGAGATCTGGGTCTTAAGCACTTACTAAAGCCAGTTAATAACATCATGCATGGACGTTTAAACTTGTTGTAAGTTGCAGAGAGGATTAGCGGGAAGTCACGCTGTGCGCAGCTAATGATACCATCTTAACTCTAACCGGGCTAAATCCACCTCTTCCGGAGCAGGTCGGGCTTCTGGGCCCTCGGGTGAGGGTGGGAAAGAGGAGGGTCTTGGAGGAGGGAGGGAGGTGGAAACAGGAGGAGCTGTCTTGGTCCCAGTTTCAGGTGATGGTCACTGGTCCTGCGAGGCTTGGGGCGGCCCTGCTGTTGGGTGGGCGCCGAGCACCGGCACGAGGAGCCAGGCTGTCGGGGGTACACGGTTGCCCTACAGCCCGTGGGCTGTGCCTTAGTGACGCTGAAGGGCACTTGCCCACATAAAAACCAGTTTAGATTCCAT